TTGTAATTGAATACCTTAATCTTATCTACTGGTAGTGGTAATTAAACTGGTAAAATATTTTAGTAATTTTCATATCTTGTTGAAGGTACATGTAGTATATTATTACCCGGTACATACAAACGTACAAATACATACAGGGATATGCCCTCAGCATTTTTCGTTTGTAAAAAGGGCTCAATTTTGTACATCAGTTGATTTTTTTAAATTTGATAAAAATTTACCAAAGTTTTATCAATGAGATGAAGCTCATAAGAAAAGCAACAAAGTCTTCATATTTTGATTGATATCAAATTTTTGGAAATACTCATAAGCAACACGACCGGACCTTAATTTCCAAAATTACTGGTAATTAGTTAAGTAAATTACCATTGAATTTTACTTCAGTAATGTGTTATTAGTTAAATAATGGATTTAGCAGTAAATCAGATATAAAGTTTTTTGGAAATACCCATAAGCAACATTTATGTATCCCAAATTGTAAGCGATTATATAATTAAATTACCATTGAATTTTACTTCTGTAATGTGTTAAGTTAAATCATGGATTTAGAAATAACTAAGCCTCAGATGTGAGTCATCAGATCAATTGTGAGTTTGACTGAGGAGATTACCTTAGAAAGAGATGGAAGAGGATGCGTAATACTAAGAGCAACAAAACACAACTTTTATGGGGTTCTACCAGGGTCAAGGCCAGCAAAGGCTAAGCATATATAACAACCATGTTTCTGGAATTGTAGTATTGGCCGAGTGCCAGTATGGTAGTTTTGTAATTATGTAATGAACGGGAAAATGAAGAAAATGAAAAATAGATGGTAAAATTTCCATGTTAAAGGGCTCATTTGCAATGGCTGTCTCGGTATAATTTAGCATCATGCATACATGTATGGGTTTGAAGGGATATATAACTGATGCTGAAGGGTTTGAAGCCACTCTGCTCCTTTACTGCAGCAGTAGAAGTATTATCATGTAGCCATCTTAAATGTTACAGAAAGATATTAGAGATAGAAAAATCATTTTGTTGAGTTTTAATTATAACTAGTCGTCAACTTCACATGCACCCTGGACGTTATTTTATTGGTCAATCTTCTAAAATATTTTTAAATAGGCCTCAAATTAGTGAACAATGTACTGGTATTTTAACTAGGAAGCAGGTGCTGAAGGATAAAACGATTATTTATTTCCTTTTCATCATGTGATTCATATTCTAAACGATTTAAATATAATATACTGGTAGCGATGCAGCATATTACATTTAATATGTTCTATATGCTTTTACCAAATCACAGGAAAAAACTAAACTTAACCGAATATATATATATATATAAAACAGTACAATTTGTTTTCTCATTAAGATTTTACATTGTCAAATATTTTGCTATTAGAATGCATCAGAAGGATTTTAAAGAAAACAAGTGTGTCTCTTTGGCAAGGGACAAGCATATATGCATGTATTTAATTGTTTTGTCCCTTTGGAAGCTTTTTATATTTAATTTATAGTATCGTCCCAGCTTTTACCTTAAGCCTATTATTAGGATTATAAGGATAAGAATTTGCTGTAAGTATATATACACTGTATGGGTTAAAGAAATAAGATAGACGGTAAAAACCCACATAACACTGGATCCTAATGGAGGTATGTCCGTAGGATACAAATTACTTAAAATAGTATATGGGGCAAAGAAGTAATTCAAACAGTGTGGACAAGTTTAGGTTGTCAAATTTTCGGAGCGATCCGCTCCTTTATCAAGACACAGCTGTGAAACAGAACAGTTACATGTACATATACATCATATTACAAGAAGATGTATATAACATGCAGTAACAAGAAAACTTGAAAGAGTTCAGTTACTTGCAGCTGGAGTACTAGTTACCGGCCTACCTGTATACGCATCAAGAGAATTGCTTTACTTTGAGACGGGATGGGAACTCTTATCTGAACGTCGTAAACATATTAAGCTATCAACCCTTTTCAAAATAAAAAAACGATATGACACCAAATTATCTGGTAGAAATCCTTCCTAGTCTCCGTTCTGAAACATCAACATATGCTATTCGTAACCAAGACGATTTCACTATCCCACGATGTAGGACAGAACTTTTTAGAAAATCATTCATACCTTCATCTGTAACACAATGGAATTCCCTCAACTCCTGTATAAAGCCAACCCATTCTCTTGTTGCATTTAAAAACTGTTTCAAGCATGATATTGTTTCTATTCCAAAAATTTTAACAGTAGGAAATAGAAAATTTACAATTTTACACACTAGACTTAGGAACAAATGCAGCAGTCTTCAATATGACGTTTATAGAGTTAACCTCAGTGATAACCGGGTCTTTATGTTTATGTACTGTGGGGAAGTAGAAAATGTACATCACTATTTCTATACATGTCCAAATTACTCTCGATCAACTGTAAGAAATCACCTGGTAACAAATCTTAGGAACTTAAATCTTCCAGAGATCCTTCTAACAGACATAAACACACTTCTCCGGGGTAATCATGATCTCACTTAATTGCACTTTTGAACAAAACAGTAAAACCTTTACCTATGTATGTAAGTATACATTAAGGATACAAACCGCTTCTATTAAGTAGTCTTAATTACAATTACATCATGATCGAAGAATTAATTTTTCTTTATCTGTGTGAAAACCTCTCTATGAGTAGGTCGGGGTACAGAGAAACAGTCGTCAACAACCTATTTTGTTAATTCAACTTAAATTTGAAAAAAAAAATGAAATGTACATGTTAAGACAGCTATGATGTACGTAAAATGTATTTAAGTTAGGAGAGGGCTTAATTAAGTTGTAAGAAATTGTGCCCAATACTTTTTGTCATATTCAAGGCAATAAAAATATGTTTAAACCAAAAAACCCACCAAGAAGGCGTCACTTTACCAGCCTAAATGTGAAAAGATAATAACTGACAGTCACACGTAGCACTGTGTGATACTGCATTTATTTAAGTTAAGGAAACCTATATTGTAATAGCTTGGCCTCCAGCTGTATCTAATAAATTGGTAATGGCTACAGACACTAAGACTTGTCTATAAACCGGTCACGGCCACACAGAAACATTTAACATGGGAGAAAGTTTAAGATTCTTTCATGTTTCTGGAATGTAGAATAGGGGAAAATTGCCACCTGAGGAGTTTTTAAGTTGTGAAATTAAAACCAGAGAGTTAAGGTTTGGTTCCAGTATGGAAATGTTAAAGGTTGTAAAAATGTATTTTCCAATACAAAATGTGGGTCATAAAAAAACACGTATTTTGCTCTGAAACCGTATATATATCATTTTGAATGGCCTGGATGCATTAGTTTGTAAATATCCACTTTTTAACTGAACTGAATGTAATTAAAGAGTCAGCCAGATTTAGCATACCCCATTTTGCTAAACTTTTGCTGAGAAAAATTAATCTCATTTAATGAAATATGTGGTTAACAAATTATTGTATTTTTCAATTTGATCATTATATCCGTCGGCAGTTTCAGCATTGGGGAACTGGGTATTCCTGATTTCATGAGGTCTTTGTTATCACAATGTGGTGTCACACATACAATGTACAGGTGTGAAATGACCATTTCCTGCCCTGGACTGATCATGAGTTCTATTATACATACATTGGAGTACATATGTGAGAAAGTGGTTTCAATTAATTCACCCCTGTTAATTTGATGTGTGTGTTATTTGAAATCAATTTTACCCTAAAAACAGCTGAATGATATCGGTATGAAACACTATAGCTAGAGGTTAGACAGCTGTAAATGTACAGAGTACATGGTGTATGTGTATGTACAATCGAGGATTAGTAATGTCAAGGCCATCTAAATATAGTAGAGCACTTGCAACTAATACATATTAATATCAGCACTTATATATTTATTGCTTATATTATGATACTTGCTCGGGCCAAACAAAATTATTGTTAAAGCACTCAGTTTTAAAAAATGAGAGCAGGTGATATACTGTTGGTATGCTAAAATATAAGAGTAGGAAGACAAACTTTTAATTTGCAAAGTACTTTAACAGATAAAATCAAAATTTATATTGATCTAATTTGTGTTCTCCTTCCTTACGATAATACATTGTCAACTGGATGGTCTTATCTAAGATAACTCTGAATATAACAATAGGAACCTCAGACTCTCTATATACTGCATATATACCACGTGATTTTCACCCAGTCAAACATTCCCCCTTCGCCCATCAAATCTTATCAACTTTTTTAAATTTCGACCGTCATATTTAATTACTATGTATATTTTGTCATTTACTTATATTTCTGTAATGAAAAATTCCTCCTCATCTCCAAAGGGCGAAAAGGTGAAAATCAAACTGCAGCGAAAATTTCCCTACAATATACATGTAGGTATGTTTATATTGGCTGAATTTTATACAGGTTTTGCACAAGAGCTGTAAGCTAGGTTCAGTTGAGTGTATATTGTACAAACCACATATAATACTGTCGAGCTCAGTGATTCTCAGTCAACGCTATATTGTTATAAGCCTGCTGACACAAGTATCCCAGACACATCTATTAGGTCAAAACAAACATCTAGCTGATTTTAAGCAGTAACTATATGTATGTACAATGCAAGCAGACATTAAACATCTCCATCAAGTATTGTATTTTTAATTTTGCCTTTTTGTCTTTTCATAAGTGCCAACTATTGAATTCAACTCACAGTTATGTTCAAACTTAACTGCTGTGCACATATAATATATATAAAGTTTTTGTACTCCTGTTTGTTGAAGGCAAAAATCAAACCAGAGGCAAAACAGTAGATTTCTATAAGAGCAGTAACATGAAGTGTATATTTCTATAAGAGCAGTATCATGAAGTGTATATTTCTATAAGAGCAGTAACATGAAGTGTATGTTTCTATAGAGCAGTAACATGAAGTATATATTTTGCCTGTGGTGATACACAGTTTGTATAATTTGTCTGATACATTTTGTTATAATTTGTAGTTATAAATCAATGTGTTTTTTTTTACAGATCATTCGTTCCCTCCTTGGACTATGGTGTATAACAAAAATGTCACATGTGGGAAAATTAAACCAGGCCTCAAGTTCCCTTCACAAACCTGGACATGTGCTGATGCAAGGTGAGTTATAATCCTGTGAAAATTGTAATAAAGTATAAAAAAAGAAGATTTATTGTCCTTCAAAAAGGCAGGCTCGTGATCACTGAAGGGTTGCGGGTTCGAGGCAGTGCACTGTGTTGTACCTTTGAACAAGATACTTTACTCCGCTTGTTCCAGTCTACTCAGCTGTAAATGAGTATGTGGTTGCATTCGGCAGTGCTAGAATTGTTGAATGCTGGCTGTACATGTTAGGGCCAAAATGGCAGCACCGGCTGTATGCTCCCAGGGAGTTGAGAAAGATATTGGCTGCATGGTTGCAAAGGCCCTATAACAGCTTTTGAGATGACCTATGGACTAGGTTGAAGTTGTACATGTGATGCAGCTGTATAAAGAACCTCAAATCATAATTAAAAAACTACTGATTTCATGTGAATTCAGCAGAATTTATCAATGGGGCCCTATTCAAGGAGTTCTATATAAACATTATACATAGACAGTTACTCTCACCTATTACCATATATAAATCATGCTAACAAGGTGGAATTAATGAAAGCATGCATGAAGTAGATAAGTTGATGGTAAATTGAATTGAAACCCCAAAAAGTAATCTTGTTCATAAATCTGGGCATGACTGTAATGCTTGCTGCATCTAGATACTCAGTTTACAGTTGTATAACCCTCATGGTTTATTAAGTGTATATGTTAAAACTTTTAACATTCACTCTGTTGTTTTATTTATCTGGCTAGTGAGCACACCATGCCTGCAGTCATGGGCGATTTGGCTCTTACCTAGCCTACATTGTAAATCACCAGTATCATACAGAGTTAGCTGGATTTGTGTGATATATTACCTCATCATATATGAAAATTGTGCATGTCATGATTTGCTAGTAGTGTATAAAGATTGCAAAGAATTTGTCCTTAATTCAGCATATGCTCTTTTCATGAGTTAAGAAAAAACCAGAAAAATATTTCTGAAAAACGGCTTACATACAAAGCCTTCACTAATGGAAACAGAATCGTAAAAAACTCATAAAAAATGTACACATCTTATTGTAAATATGTTAGGTGGCAGGGGGTAAGGCTTACAATAATTCATTCATGAAAGAACCGCATGTACATGTGGGAGATTTAAGGTACTGATTGACCTCGTGGGAACCCCACAGTGATAAGTATGGTAATATAATGTACTGTAATGCTGGGCAAGGGTCTCAAAAGAACAGGTACATACACATATACATCGTACAAGTCGGGGTAAGATTAAGTCTGGATGTGATGGGTTCACTAGTTTATATTTCAAACACTATCTTGACCTAGTCCTGTACACGGACACGGACTGGTATGTTTGTAAATCAAAATTAGCTTGAGGGTTTTTGGCTGTGTACATCAGTATTATCACCTTTATAGATTTGTATTGTGATTCTGATTCTGGTCAGCAATCAACAATATCCTATTGGATATAAAATATAAAACTTTATTTATTTTACAACAATTATATTTATGAAACAAGTTATTCAACTTATATTAATCACTCTTGTTGGCCTGGATGTTAAAGCGTGTGTGTGTGTGGGGGGGGGGTCTTTGTGTGGGAGGAATCCGGAGTACCTGGAGAAAGCCCACGTGGGTCGGGGGTAGGTGACCCCATACCTTTTCACGTCCGTCGGGGATTGGATATCACGCTGATTGCGATATATAGATATGATTATATATACTCTTTCCACCAGTGTATTGCTGCATAACCAAAACGATATCCATGTCCGATTTGTGTTTCTGTTTTATGTGATATGTTGTTTGATTTATAACAACAATAAGAAAGTAAATAATGCTACAAATATTCAAAAAGATCTACGGTAACAGACAAGAAAATGTTAACATATTATGTATTTATACAGTCGTACTTTAAATTAAATGCACAAAATCAAACAAATCCATATTTTAAATAAGGCGTACTGTGTCCTGCAATATATTGATATTTCAATCTTAGTGTTTCTATATTGAATGGACCATATATAGTTATATTGACATTATAGCATAATCATATTAATACTCTCTATATATTCTGTGTGCTGGGAAATTCTTCACTGTAGTGTAATTTTCACCTTTTTTGTCCTCACAATATACATAATAATTATTAAATGAGTCTGAGAAGAGTGAAACTAACCCGGGGTGAAAGTTTGACTGGTTGAACATTTCATGGTATACAGTATATGTTCATTAGCCCTAATGGTTAGTCCTGGGTATATTCTGCTATACTGTTGTGATACTGTATTTTTTTTGTGTCGCCTGCAACGCGAGGAGACATATAGGTATTACTTTGTCGGCGGAGGCGCAGCGTCATGATCAGACTGTTGCGTCGTCCGAAACAAGGTTCGTACGATATCTTGAGTTCCCTTGGGTTGATTGAACTCAAATTTGGTACACATATTGCGTACCAATATAGCTCAGACATTTTCGCACTTCAGAACATTACGTGCAAATTTGGTGGAGTTATGCCCCTTTTATTACCAAATAAGGGCATTGCGTAGTAATTAAACACTAAATGCATGAACTTATTGATTTTTCAATCAATTCCTTTCAAATTTTGTACGGTAATGCTAGAAACAATAATGTTCAACATAAATTACTGTTTTTTCTGTCAAGTTTCAACTCTCCATGTTTTGGCATATCTGTTTACGCGATAACTCAAGCCTGAACACTTTTCTTACTAAAAACACTCATGAGCAAGCTACACATCCACTACTTTGGAATTCTTGTTTGAAGTGAGGCAATTAAGAGGCGCGTTGTGTTGCATAACTATTATAGTATAAGTACCAATACCTGTTTTGACCAATCTATGTATACATTAATTACCACAAGGACCTTGAAAACAGCCTGATAATGCAGTATGGTAGTTTATGATGCTAAGTACAGCTGTCATGTACAGTACTAGTAAATGTGGTAATCAACTCTGTAGCTATTATCTTCTGTCTAAACAGCCTATTACTGTCTTCCTTAAGGGCACTCAATTTCTTCTTAATGTATACCCATCAGCAGCTAGATGGCAACAAGCAGCTAAAAATGGAAAGCAATTGTATATATTCATACACTTTTTCAAGAAGCTATAGCTGTTGTCACCTGTATGTACTTCACATTGCTAACATCATAATAACTGTGTAAAATCTATCATGATCCTACAGGTGAGCAGCATTTCATAATCATCATGTTGTTAACCAATTATCATCTTAGATTTTATCATGTGATGTACCAAAGCTGCAATCGATATGTGAAGCTCTATGTCATACAGTGTATATATGTGTGGCACAGCTGTCCTGATGTCTCTTGTCTGCTTATCCTGAAAAATTGGACACTGAAGGTTCTATGATTCAGGCAGATGATCTGATCAGCATGCAGTTGAGCTGTGATTGACTGATGATCAACTGTTGATCCGTGATTGGCCGACGATCAACAGTTGAACCATGATTGGCTGACGATCAACAGTTGAACCGTAATTGGCTGACGATCAACAGTTGAACCGTGATTGGCTGACGATCAACAGTTGATCCGTGACTGGCTGCAGATGATAAACAATTGAGCTGTGATTGTCTGATGGTCAGAATGTAAACATTGATTGGCTGACATTATCAGCAGTTGATCCATGATTGGCTGATGGTCAACAGTGGAGCTATCATTGGCTGATCGATGGTCAACAGTACTAGTGGAGCTATGATTGGCTGATGGTCAACAGTGGAGCTATGATTGGCTGATGGTCATCAGTACTAGTGGAGCTATGATTGGCTGATGGTCAACAGTGGAGCTATCATTGGCTGATCGATGGTCAACAGTACTAGTGGAGCTATGATTGGCTGATGGTCAACAGTGGAGCTATGATTGGCTGATGGTCATCAGTACTAGTGGAGCTATGATTGGCTGATGGTCAACAGTGGAGCTATCATTGGCTGATCGATGGTCAACAGTACTAGTGGAGCTATGATTGGCTGATGGTCAACAGTGGAGCTATGATTGGCTGATGGTCAACAGTACTAGTGGATCTATGATTGGCTGATATTCAGAATGTGAACATTGAACACTTGCAAAACCAAGAGCAGAAATACAGTTTTAAAGAAGAAAAATGAAATCTAGATGTCGCAACTTTTGAAATATGTTTTGATATAATTGGTTTTTTTTTCAGAGCTGGCTGTCAAAGGATTTTTAAATCCTAATTTTGTCAGAACAAATCTATGTATCTATGTAGTGATTGGCTGATGATCACAATGTGAACATTGATTGGCGGATGATTAATGGCTAAGATTGTTTTAATATACATACATGTATGTGGTGCCATAATGCCATGTAACTCGTAGGTCAAGATTGAGAAAAGTAAGATACCTGCTGTTACCCACTGTATGATTCCTTAAAGGTGACTAATGTGGTACCAATTTTCATTTAAACAAGAGACATATATTTTGTACCTCAAGAATTTAACCATTATTTTATTTTATCTCGGATATTGAGTGAAGTTTGCATACTTGTAGCCTCAAACTAATTATATAGCTGTATTGCTGATTTATACATATTTGTTGGTGCTGTATTAGTATCATTAGGCACTATACTTCTGTAAGGTACACAGCTAAATTAGACATTCTAAAAACATCTCAGTTAATTTATATAGACAGTTGTAATGAGGATATATAATTACATTTGTAACGGAAGCCTATTTAAGGGAAAACACAGCTTAGATTAAAGAACACCTAGCAACTCTTGTTTACAACTCAGCTTTTCTATTGATTGCTGAATACTGGTGCTTTTCCCATACCAGAATTAAATGTAATTAGTTTGAAAGTCTGAAGCTTAGATATAGGTAATTGGTACACATCTTGTATTAACTCATTCACCCCTGAAGACACATTTCAACTCTTCCAATTCAAAGGGTGGAATAGTTCATTATAAAATTTCAAGGGTGAATGAGTGAAGGAAGTTTAAAAGAACAGAAAAGAGTTAATCTTCACAGAGAAACCACCAGCCTCCTTTGTAAACAGCTGTGA